GGATCGCCCTGGATTATTCCACCGACCTTTTATATTATGCGGCTGTTCTGGCTGGTCTGACCAGTGCCTCCTTTATTGGGATCGTGGATCCTTACACCGGACATGACCGCCGAATCATCACCGACCTAGCAGCCGCCTACGAAGTCGTTCTTTATCCTTCAGAGGGGTCAGTTCTGTTCTAACAATTTCATTCATGCAGCATCTTTATAATTACGTCTTTTCACAATGAGTGATTTGTGTTTTAGGTACTTATTCTACACCGACACTGGCGATGTACCATATATAGGTCGTGCCTCCATGGACGGTTCCTTCAAGAGGGCGATCGTAGCTACTGGAATCCGGCAGGTGAACGGGTTAGCCATCGACTACACGTGTAAGTTTTAACCACTTCTAGGATGATTATATACAAAGTTATTAAAGTGTCTTTATTCAGACTTCACTCTCATTGCCTCATCTTAACAGAAAGGGATTAGAAAAAAAAAACAAGTTTCAAACAATTCTGATCCTTTGTGCTTGTACTTTTTTCAGCAAAACGTCTGTATTGGACGGATGGTGTCAAAGATAAAATAGAATATTGTGATTTCAATGGCGAAAACAGAAAAGTACTATTAACAGATGAGCAAGCACATTTAGCTAACCTGGTTGTTTCTGGGAATTATATATACTACACGGCTATAAACCGACAGTAAGTGGCATGTTATCAGACCAAATCAATACTTCAATACTCGTATATGTACAAAAAACAAATACAAACATAATATGCTTGAAAATTAAAAATTTAATAATGTAACATTGGAGCAATATTATTTATTATACTTTCATGTTAAATACTAAAATCTAATTGGTTTAGACGCAGTTAACAATCCGTTCTATTACCCTCAGCCTTAGCAACACACGTGACAACGGGTAACACAACGGTAATGTCACATGCGTGGAAGTTATGCGCGTACGGTTCACCGTAGAATTCTTAAAACGTCAGTTGTGCGTTTGAAAGAACGGGAGTAAACTTGATGTCAATAAAAGCTTGCGTCCGATGTAGCTTACTTGAAAACAACAAACGACAGACGAAACATGTTTGCGAGTGCAGAAATAACGAAACTTTAGATGATAAAGGACTCTTAGAGTATCAAATAAACAGTAAAAAGGTCAGTAAATCTTTTTCGAAGTAGCGTGGAGTTTGAAAGCTTTCTAAACATGAATGTAAAGACGATCGACGATTTTTTTTTTCTGAAATCCTAAATCAAGAAGACATTCAGTATAATAAAATAAATGGTGCCTGTTTTGATGGATAACAGTTGGAATTGACACCACTCGGAAAACCATTGTCAACGACAATGACAATGGTTGACAATGGTTTTCCTTGGGGTGTCAATTTCAACTGTTACCCTCCAAAACAGGCACCATTTATATAATGTTCATTGATATTATCAGTTTAACTCTTTCTATACAGGAGGGTGACAAAAGTAAACAAGAACTCGAGTTATAAGGTTCATTGGATGACTGACTCATACGAGTACGGAAGACTTGAGTCCGTGGACATACATCCGGGAGACGTGCAACCAGGTAACAAGTGGAACCACTAACTCCTAATTCCTAACCCACTCCCAATAACCCCCCCCCCCCCCAAGAAGAAGTTATATACTTGTAGTTAGATTGATAATATGACATCAATAATATAAATCTGTATTATTAAATCACTTTACTTGCATGCACTCTCTTTCTAGTAATTAAAATTATTTTTTTTTTCAATAGTGAACGAAAATTGCATAAAAAATAACGGAAACTGTAGTTCTTTGTGCATTCCAACACCCACTGGCTATGTGTGTGCGTGCGCAGATGGAATTGAAATGACGGACAAACACACATGTGCGACCGGTATGTAAATATAAAACCAGAAGTCTCTGTCAAGACTGTAGCTCTACTGGTTTGTACTTATCAAAAACCATTGCACTATTTTATGTATCTTTGTGTAATCTACTTGTGTGCCAACTTATTTTGAAATCAAACTAAAACTGTAGAAGGAGTAGCGTTTTAAAGGAATTTCACAGAAAATTCTATTTTTAGTAACCATGGCGACACCGTTCATCGAAATCTAAAACCGATGCACTATTCTATGTATCTTAGTGTAGTCTACTTGTGTGCCAAGTTATATTGAAATCAGACCAAAACTGTAGAAGGAATAGCATTTTAAAGGAATTTCACAGAAAATTCTATTTTTAGTAACCATGGCAACATCGTTCATCGAAATCTAAAACCGATGCACTATTCTATGTATCTTAATGTAGTCTACTTGTGTGCCAAGTTAAATTGAAATCAGACCAAAACTGTAGAAGGAGTAGCGTTTTAAAGGAATTTTACAGAAAATTCTATTTTTAGTAACCATGGCAACACCGTTCATCGAAATCAAAAACCGATGCACTATTCTATGTATCTTAGTGTAGTCTACTTGTGTGCCAAGTTATATTGAAATCAGACCAAAACTGTAGAAAGAGTAGCGTTTTAAAGGAATTTTACAGAAAATTCTATTTTTAGTAACCATGGCAACACCGTTCATCAAAATCTAAAACCGATGCACTATTCTATGTATCTTAGTGTAGTCTACTTGTGTGCCAAGTTATATTGAAATCAGACCAAAACTGTAGAAGGAGTAGCGTTTTAAAGGAATTTCACAGAAATTTCTATTTTTAGTAACCATGGCAACACCGTTCATTGAAATCAAAAACCGATGCACTATTTTATGTATCTTAGTGTAGTCTACATGTGTGCCAAGTTATATTTAAATCAGACCAAAACTGTAGAAAGAGTAGCGTTTTAAAGGAATTTTACAGAAAATTCTATTTTTAGTAACCATGACAACACCGTTCATCGAAATCAAAAACCGATGCACTATTCTATGTATCTTAGTGTAGTCTATTTGTGTGCCAAGTAATATTCAATTCAGACTAAAATTGTAGGAGGAGTAGCGTTTTGAAAAATTGTTTACAGACAGACGGACAGACAGACAGACAGACAGACAGACGGACGGACGGACGCCGGACGCATTACTATCGCATAAGCTCTTCTGGTCTCTGACCAGTAGAGCTAAAAAATGAAAATACCTTATAAGAATTGTAAGTCCTTAATCATAAGTTCATATCTTTTTAATTTGTACAGTTTAAACAGCTGTTCCATGTAACTGAGAAATGCAATACATGTATTTTTAGGTTCAAAAAGGAAACCGCTATCTTACCTACGAAAATTAAGCTCTCTTGATGCTAAAAATGATTTAAATCAACAAGGATCAACTGTTGAAAGCCCTGAGGCTGTAAGAAGCGAGGGTGGCGCTGACAACACACCCGTCATTGCGGGGGCTGTCCTAGGGGGAGTTATCCTTCTCTGTATCATACTAGGTGTCGCTGTATTCATATTTGTTAAACGAAGGTAAGTAAATCTAGTGCGCATGCTCATTTAAAAAGAATCCAATAAAAGACATTGATATAAATAATGACATTATAGCTCGCTTATGCAGTTCCTACAATATTATACAACTTGCTAAATAATGTTTATTAGTCATTGAATATAAAGAAATTCATAAAATGAGCACATGACAATTCCTCGTATATCAATAATTTTTGGAAAATAAGGGAACTCGTAGAATTTTTTTCGTTTTGCTAAATAAATGCAAGCTCATATGTAGAAAGCTTCTATGAAAATTATTACACATACTGCAATTTTGTATGTTTTTTGTGGGGGTTTGAGGTTAACAAGAACTAAGACTGACCCCTTTGTCTCTAACCATTCTTATATTATCGCCAATCATTTGAACTTTGATGTCAACTTTGATACAACCCAGGTTTAACGTTACACAGTTAGGGACTCTTTTAGTGTTGAATATGGGTTGTTTCGCTTTGATCAATTTTGATATTTTTTATGGTGAATAACAAACCATATTCAACACCAAGAGTTCATAATTGTATATAATTTTAATTTAAAAGCAATTAAAATTTTGTATTTGATAAAGGAAATTGTTTAGTACGAATATACAGGCATACAATTAATAATGTTTATATGTTCAAAAAAAAAAAAATATGGAGAATGATCTTGAAATGTTTTGTTGTATTAGGAGTATATTATGATTATGTTTACAAACGACCAAAATATGAGATGTTTACCTTCAGGAAAAGTCTGTCATACCAAGAACAAATAGACACGCCTACTGTTAAATTTGCCAATGATAGAGGAGTAGGCAATGTCGGTTTCGTGGAAGAAAACTATGGCTCAAAGAACAATTCGTGAAAGTAGTCAAATCGTCATCAACTGATCGTAATCGTTATCTGCAAGTTACGTCACGATTCTACAAGTGAACTACAGATGAATGAGTAGTCACATTTAAGCTGTAGCGACTGAGAGGCACTGTGTACAGTTATCATTTTATCATGTTTTTCTTCATACGGAACATTATGAGAGATATTTCACTGCTTAGTAATACATGTTTTGCTAATTAGTAAACTCACGTGACTGTAAGCTAGTGATTGATTGTTGAGTACAGAAGAGTTTTACAAAGTTGCATGTCTTTGTTGCTAATATAACTTGTATTTACGTTCAGGAAGAAACTTGTTTCTTATTTGTCCATGTACACATTACAAATGTTAAATACCACTAAAATAATTCAGACATATGTTCCATGATTTAATATATCATTGTTCACCCATTTTCATCATCAACAAGCTTTTTCTATATACAAAATAAAATGAAATTGTAACCTATTTAAGACATTGGCATTATTATTATTCATTACTTCAATATCAGTGGATACTCCCCACGAAAGATGTGAAAATGAATCTGAACTTTTTTCGATTTTAATTTTTTTTTATCTGGAGAAAATCAAATGCATGTTAACTGAAAAATCATGTTATACGTTGTGAGAATACTGAGGGAAAATGGAATGTATATAGTGTTGTTTAATCTATAGAACCCATGCGCATCTAAGTATATACTAGTATATGATCCTATTTTCTTTCCTATTTTGAAAGTTCGACGTGTCTTTTTCTGTATTTGTAGCAGTTATAAAAGGAATTGAAGTTTGAGGCTAATATCGTAATAGGCATTGCCAAAAGTAACAGCCCAAAAATTGCGGCAACTATGGCGACACAGTATCCCTCGGGCGTCTTGGGGTAAAAATCGCCGTACCCAACAGTGGTCATGGTTATTATAGCCCACCAGATACTGATAAAGATGGAGGGAAACGTGTCGGGATTATCTAGCTCCATCCAAAACATGATCGACCCGAAGATGAGAGAGAAGGCCGTCAATACCATTAAAAGCAGAACGAACTCTCGCCAACTCTCGTGTAGAGAGAGTTTTAGTATCTTCATTTCCGGTGTGGACTCTACCAATCGCAGGAAACGAATCACTCTCAAACTTTGAAATACTCCAAGTGCAATCATAAAGTTATCGAAATGTTCATTTCCCAATTCGTATATTGAGTAGATGTCGATATACATAGCCACATATACTGCCAATCCCGTAACAAAATTTAAAAGGTTTTGAAGGCTGAGTAAAAATCTTCTTTTATGATGAGTTATAATGAATAGCACCAACAGCTCAAGCAGGAGGAAAGTGTTTGTTAAAAATTCCAAAACACTCTTAACATGCTCACGTGTAGTAGTTATAAAGAAAAGTAATTTTTCGTTTTCTATGATCATGTCGTAAGTTAAATTGTATGGGAGAAGCGAAAGTCCCTCTCGTGGGATACGGAATTTTGGATCACTGTTTAGCAAGTACACAACGACAGACGTAATTGTAACCAAGGCCGAGATAAAAAGCCACACCTAAAAAAATGAACAGTCTTATATATTACTGAGTAATACATATCATAAATGCATTTGATTCTATTACAAATCAGCTTATGGCAGACAAATTACCTACACATACATTTTCATTACTAGTAAGGCATAATAGTACAGTCTTACCCTTCCCGTCCATGTAGTAAGTGGATGCAAATAAGCTTCCAACAGTTTATATCGGAGTCTTCCTAAACAATTTCTGACTTTTTTCTCCCCAAACAAGGGCGACACAGATTGATTTTTCTGTACTTTCAGATCGCTCTCTAAATTCTCAATGCATGTATACTGATAATTGTTTTCATTGTAAAGAACTTCAAAACAGCAATTGTGGATGTCTTTGGAAGGTATTCTCCAAAACTCTATCTCTTTGCGTGCTTGAAGTGGACATATATTCTTTGGAAGATGAAATTCGCCTCCAGAATGGTAATCCAAAATGTGATGAAAAATCATTGGGTTTCTATCAACATAAAATCCCCCACTGGGGTAAGTAGTTGCCTGGTCACCCTTAACGAGAGCATGCATCAAGTCCCTGACAAAGGGGGACGTGGAGAGGAATTTAGTCCCCCTCAAGTTTATTTCGAATGATTCACTCTTTAATATGTGTGATATGGTCTTCATAAATTTAGAAGTGTGTGCAAAAAACTAGCTTCAGTGAACTTGTAAAATTAGTTAAATTACACTGGAGAACATAAATAATACCGTTATCACTGGGGATTGAAATGATTTTTCTGCAGCAACAGAAATTGCACACTGTAGCTGAATTGTCATAACGGGTTGATTCACTGAAATAGGATTTATTCTTTGTTTGATTTGTTAATGGCATTATCACTCGGAGAATAAAATAAAAGAATTAACCTATCATTAAACTCAAAGAGAAAAATATTGACTGGCGGGTGGCAGATGGCCAATATTTAAGTGCGTTCTCATTTTTTCTATCATTTTTAAATGATCCAGTGTATTATTTCATTGGACCAAAGATAGATATAATTGTCAGATTCTGATATGAAACCAGTCAACATGACACAGAGATTTTATAATTAGGTCAGGGATATGGTCCATAATTGGTGGACAATATTGGGTGGACAATTTCTGAAATTATTGATAGATGGTGCTCATATGACGTACTAGTACGGTATTTTGGCTCGGAGTTAGTACCCCTTACCCGCCATCTGATAGCGCAAAGTAGTGAAATTTCATCTTTCAGCGACCCCTTTTAAATATTCATGTATATACCGTCTGAATTTTGCATCCATTATACTGATGTATAAGACGGAACTCCAAATATGTTATAACAGATTTATTAACAAAAGGGACAGGCTCCGCCATATAGCGGACGAGAGCGCTGTCCAACGTGGTTGTCTTAGCGAAAGCCAGTCGATAACTGTATAAAATGTACAAAACAGAAAATTACAATTTACAATAGAGTTATTTATCAATCAATTTATCAATTATTTGTATTGTCCAGGAGATACATGTTTATTCAAGTCTTTAACTCGGAAGTCATTGACACCTATTAAGTTTACTCTGGTCGGAGGCGCTTTGATCATTGTCCAACTTGAGATTAACACATAATTTTTCTTAAACACTTAATTTCCTTGGTCACACATGCCAGAAATATATGGGGGTCGGGGAAATATTTACAATCTTAAAATTATGAACTAATGAATTTATGTCTTGTTATAAATTTATTACAAATAAAACGTCTAACACAAGAGATGTTTATTATTTACATCGGTCTAAAATTGCGTAATATCGCGAGTACCTCGCAGTTTTCTACATGTAACTTACTGCCGCTCTTTTGCGGAGGAGTCGAGAAAGCTCTAAATCTCGCAACTTTTCTGGGGCACACGCACAGGCACTTGTTTCGTATACGGAGTATCCCCTACCTATATTTACCACGTGGTTAATATAGGTAGGGGGTACCCCGTATACGAAACAAGTGCCTGTGGGCACACGACATTGTCTCCAGTAGTGACAATCGAATAATTCGAAAAATTGTATGCCGAAAGTACAATATATTGCCAAGGATTAAACTCCAAAAAGTAGATGTCAAGTAAGGAAATTTTAAGAAAATTATCAGCTTTAAAATGTGACGATTTTCAATGAAAATTTAATGAGAAGAGTCCGCTTAGTAAAAATATCATTAAAAATGTAACAACTTAGGATTAGCTTCTCTTGAAAATCGATTAGATTGCCTCAGCGATTGTTTAGCAAGGTATTCCACCAGGATTTTTTTTAGCTATCTGTCCTTCTTAATTCTACAACGATTGGTCTTGCATTCTTTTCAATAGCACCCCCCCTCGTAAAACTGACGTTTCCTACATGTACCTCCATCGCAAAAGATTTCCGCTAAGTTAAGTTGATTGCGATGTCAAGTATTGCAGAACTGTAGCTCCCTGCTTGAGAAAATTTGGACAGATAAAGATGAGAGCTACAGATCCAAGCAATGTTGAAACGTTCGATTTACGCCGCCGAATTTTTTGTCGCTCATTTCCTGTATACACTGGTATTTTATGCTTTCCCTTTTTTTTTTAGAATCCTATAATAAATCATATAATTTACTTCTATTCCTGATACTTTACCCTCTAAACAGTTCGAAACAGTCCTTTTTGGTTTTGGAATTTCGGTTTAAAGAAGTCTCATTTCGACATCCTTCACAACAGTCTTTTGGAACCTACTTGAATTTTGAAATACCTAGTCAGGAGAAGTATATTTTGTGATGAAGAGCTTTTGTAATGTGATTATATATTTTTTTTTCTTGTTCTGCTTATCGTTTTTATATTGATTAAGTCCAAATAAAGTTATTGATTATTAAGCACGTATTGATTAAAACTTGAGAAAAAGGGTAAAACTGGGATGTGGGCAACATAATTATGATCTATTGGATCTGATTGTTGCCCTTGACCTGTTTCCTCGGATAACATTTTCATCTTCAGGTCCAACAAATCATGTGTTGTCCTCGTATCCAGTTCAGTTCGATGACGTTGGCAGTTTGACGATTTTGGTTCCCTTGTTTTTGTTTTTATTCAGTAATTAAGTAAAATCAGAAAAAGTATGTTAACGGCACCTGTGGAATGACCTTATAAATATGTCAGATAAATCCAGGTTCATCATTCTGCTTGAGAAAGATTTGTAAAAATGTTGATGGAGAGGCGATGTTAAAGGATTTTAATAATAAACTGAAGATTAAAGGAAACGATAAATATAATTCAACCCTTTAACATTATTATTCCATCTTTTCTGGATAGTAACATTTAAATTACACAGACTGAACATTTATAATTCAAAATATAGATGGATACACGAAAGAATTAGCCAATCGATTGATATCTAGAAAAATGCAGACTAAACAATAAGCTGATAACTGGGTCGATAAGTATATTGAATTGCAAAATTTCTAAATAATTTTGACTCCAAGCAATCTATCATGGCGTCAAATGCTACCCCTAATTAAAAAAAAATCGAATATCTGTGTCTATGTCAGAATGTGCCTGGATAGAAATTCTGGCATTGAAAGCTGCAAATAGTTTCCCCGAGACTAAAATAAGTATTTCTCTTCAGCATTAAATCACCGAGCGCAAGGGGAGGGGGGGGGATTTTTGTTCCCAACCTTACCGGACGATTAACTCTGAAATAGTCAAAATTATCGACTTTTGTGAATTTGATTTTATTCAATTAAAATTAAGTTAAATTCAATTTTTCCTTCCTGCATTTTTTTACAGTAATAATTTTAAGTATGTCTTCCAAGTATTACTTGTTACTTTGTCGTAATTCGAGACAAATATTTCAACATGATTGTATCCATTTCTAATTAGATGACCATGAATTTATTGTCGAAAAAGTAATATTTTGAGCCTTTTCCTTTTGTTTTATCATAGGCGTCGGAATGTTTACAAAATATAGGCACTGGAAATTTCGGTTTACCTTTTGTTGTTGGTTTAGCCCCCCTTTCAATTAGCCCCCCCCCCACTTTCATTTTGCTTCCGACGCCTATGTTTATTCCTGTAAATGTTCCAGAATTCAAAGGATTGGTTATAAAAAAAAAAAAAAAAAAAAAAAGTCTAAAAAAGAGCATTCTTATCGATATCTTTAAAATATAAACATTATAAATAATAAATGCGAACTTTTTTAACTTAAGACGAATTAACTAATACTATCAACAGAAAAAACAATTAGATTCTGAATAATTGAGATACCCTGTACCTCCCTGAATTCAACAATTACTGACATGGACAAGAAGAAAACCGTCAGTAACTATAAAATACAAGTACATGTACAATTAACTATAAACATTCAGTCGTAATTCATGCTACAAGGCGCGCGTTTCCGTTGGTTCTTTTGATATTTGTTTGGAATGCTTTACTTGCTTGGTTTTTATATGAGTCTTTCTAAAGTTATAGCAATCGTAAATCTTGCTAAAATTTGATGCAATCGTTGCTATTGGCATGGCTAACAGTATCAAACCAAAGATAGACGTTAACACGCCTACAAAATACCCGGCTGTTGTTTTCGGAAAGAAGTCGCCATATCCAACCGTCGTCATAGTAACGATTACCCACCAGATGCCAAAAAATATGTTGGGGAAAGTTTCTGGATTATAAAACTCCGCCCAGAACATCCAGGACCCGAAAATAAACGCGAATGTTATCAGAACTGTGACAAACAGACAAAATTCATTTAGACTTTTTTGAAGAGATAACTTAAGCATTTTCATCTCGGAACAAGATTCGATGATTCGGAAAATGCGAAATACACGAAGAGAATAGAAGATTTGCATAAGTGTTGAGAATACATAGGAAAAATTGTTAATATACTTTTCATAATCAACCAGGTATTCTAGAGCTACGAAGGTAAATATGACTAGCTCAGTCAATAGCTCCAAAATATTTTGAGGCCTTTTGCAGAACTGTTTTTTCATTGGACTAATAATGAATCTCAGAATAAGATCAAACGTGAGTACAGTATTGGAAAATATTTCTGCAAAAGCCATTTCTTTGGCGGTCTTTGTAACTAGGAGCTTGTAAAACTTTTGGTTGTTGCCAGCTAGTTGAATGGTCTTGTTGGTCGGCTGACCCATTCTCTGGACCCGGAAGTAAGCCGAACTCTCCAACAGGAAAACCGCTATAGAAGCAGCAGTAACTATAGCAACGACAAACAGCCAAATCTACAACGACACGGTACAGATTGTATCTTTAAATTGATTTAAATTTGCAAAAATGCTCTATTTTATTTAGCATTTGTACTTATAAAGAATAAAGTTAATCAAGAAAACGATTGATTGACTGATTGATTGATTGTATATGTTGTTTAACGTCCCTCTCAATAATTATTCACTCATATAGAGAGGCCAACACTTGCCGGTGGAGAGCTACAAATTTTGACCTATACTCGGCACTCGATCAGTGAGGGATCTTTTTCGTGTCTTCACCTACTGCGACACGGGACCTCGGTCTCATCCGAAGGGCCGGTCTCCATGTCCAGCGGTGGGATTCGAATCCGCAGCGGAAGGACACAACTCCCTACTTCGTGACATAAGAGCAGCCGCTCTAACCACTGCGCCACGCGGGCAATTCAAGAAAACGACAGCAGTTTCTGAAAGTTTCTATTGGCCTTTTCTCTATTTATTCATAGAAAAAAATAGTTTAACATTATACATGATGTACTTCAGGAGAATGTTTCACACAGAAAAGTTAAAATGTTTTTCCCAGTCTCTAAATTGTATTATACTAGTGTTGTCAACATTTCCCCAAATTTTTAATGGATCGTTCCATGAAGTGTTATGGGAAGCAACACAGGTTATAAAGGATTGTCTGCCCCAATACATGTACAAGGGCGGAAACATTTTGTTGAATTCAAGAATCCTTTTGCAGAAGAAATTCATTTTCTCTTAGATCCCTCTGCTAATTTTTGATTCAAGGTGAGGCTACAATCTAGCGACAGAACATAGTAGCTCTCTGCTAAGAAAATTCGGACAGATATCCGAATTTATTCAACTGCAGAGAGCTACAGTTCTGTCTCAAGCCAATTCGCAACTAGCAGAAAAACAGCAATACGTCAGGCAAATGGCATTCTTTCCCAGTTGTGTAAAGACAGTCTGAAGACTGTTTTATCTATGAACAGTGCTTGGTTTTAAAATTTTCTAAAGTGTTGTTTTTTGCACAAAATAATTCTAAATTAAATAAAAATCCATCCTGCTCCTTCTTTCACGTCCCCATGGAGAGTATGGGAAACAGGTCTAGTGAATGTACATGTATATTTTGCACTGTAAGATCATTAGTGGCTGGCTTACAAAAGAGGCAATGTGGCGGTAAAGTATACTTTTAAATGCAGCGGTAATGTAACGTTTTTTGTAGCGGTAATGACAATGTAGCGGTAATGGAAATTTCGAAAATGTAGCGGTAATGATATGCACCCAAATAAGAACACACCCGATCAATCTTTATCAACATTGCATTTGACGAGACCGTCTACTTATTAGAGTGTACAGATATCCAATATAAAAACTTAAATAATATTCACGAAGTTGTGCTTGAAATCAATTTTGAGATTTGTTTAAGTTTTTGTCACGTGAAAAAGAGGTAACTAAGAACTCAATTCAATACTATTGTTGTTTACTAATTATTGTAATTGTCGTTTACTCAGTATCTGAATTTCTAATTCAATAATTAGTAAAATACACACTATTGCCAATACTAGGAATGCAAAGTTAAAAGTTATATGTATACATATGTATTACAAAAAATGTAATTGAGTGAATAGTTTTTAAATCTCTAAATTTAGTTATAAAAAACGTTAAACATTTTTCAAATTATAGATCATATACTTTTTGTCAGCATTATATTTCGAGATTTAATACTGTCAAATAATGAAAGAAAAGGTAAACAATTTTTAAAATTGACACCAATTCAGGATTTAGTGTTGTTTACCTTTCCTAGCAATGATTGTAATGGAAAATTGAGCGCATAAAGAAGTTTGTCTCTGACACTGGACTTGGGGGATTTTGATTTTATCACATTGTAATCGTCCATCTGGTGTCGTACTTCATTTTCCAGCAGACCTATCGCTTTGTATTCAGCTTCCTTATCGTCATACAGTGTCTCGTAGCAACATACGGGTATCTCACTGAACGGAATCACCCAGAATTCCATTTCCTTCCGGGCCTGGAGAGGACAAATATTCCTAGGAAGATGAAATTCGCCTTCCGTATAGAAATCCAGGATGTGATGGAATATCAAAGGATTTCGGTCCAAATAGTAACTTCCGTCCGCTAAAATCTCGGCTCGGCCACACATTGACAATTTTTCCAGGATGTTCTGCACAGAAGAAGAAGAGGTCGAAAACTTTGTACCTCTTAAGTTTATTTCAATCATGATTAAATGAAGAAATACTCCGTGCACTATATCAAGTCCTAGATATGACAACAAATCGCTCTGTCAATAATCTGAATCCTCGCAGAAAGGAGACATGATAGATGATACACCCTAGTGGTTTCCGCTATGTACCATGTGTTGTATTGTTTAACTTGATTGATATTGACGGGTAAAATGCCACAATACTTTGCCCTAGTTCCAAATCCACGTAACGCCAGCACAATACATATGGGGTTAATCAGCTTGAAAGTACGGAAGCGCATTAGTGCCACTTGGACACTTCACTTTTTTTTAATTTCTGCACTTTAAAGTGTAAATTTTACACTTTAAAATGTAAATTTTACACATTAATCTGTAAAATTTACACTTTAATCTGTAAATTTTACACTTTAATCTGTAAATTTTACACTTTATTCTGTAAATTTTACACATTAATCTGTAAATTTTACACATAAATCTGTAAAATTTACACTTTAATCTGTAAATTTTACACATTAATCTGTAAATTTTATCCTTTAAGTGTAAATTTTACACTTCACTGTAAATTTTACACATTAACCATGTAAATTTTACAATTAATCTGTAAAATTAACACTTTAAAGTGTAAATTTTACACTTCTGACACTGTAAATTTTAGGACTTAAAATTAACACTTTAAAGTGTAAATTTTACACTTTAATCTGTAATATTTTACACTTTAATCTGTAAATTTTACACTTTAAAGTGTAAATTTTACACTTTAAAGTGTAAATTTTACAGATTAATGTGTAAAATTTACACTTTCTCTGTAAAATTTACACTTTAATCTGTAAAATTTACACTTTATTTGTTTATTCACAAAATCAATTTAGCATCTTCACACATCCTCAGTAACACATTTTTAGGCCAACAGACCATGTTTCGTGTATGATAAAATTTAATCCTGATGTTTTATATTAAAATAAAATTTTTCTTTGAATATAATGTGAAGGGCATATCAAACATACATACACATATTCCCGATCACAGGTGCTTAAGGACCCCCCCCTCCCCCCAATATAGATTCCAGGGCCTGTTAGACTTTTTTCACATGAATAATATATATGGATGACACAATTGTGATATAATCTATAAATCCTGTAAATTCAGAAAATTTGTTTAAACTAACATTTTATTGCTTACAAATGTGTTACTGAGGATGTGTGAAGATGCTAAATGTGAATAAACAAATAAAATGTAAATTTTACAGATTAAAGTGTAAAATTTACAGATTAAAGTGTATAATTTACAGATTAAAGTGTAAATTTTACAGATTAATGTGTAAAATTTACACTTTAAAGTGTAAAATTTACAGATTAAAGTGTAAATTTTACAGATTAAAGTGTAAAATTTACAGATTAAAGTGTAAAATTTACAGATTAAAGTGTAAATTTTACAAATTAATGTGTAAAATTTACACTTTAATCTGTAAATTTTACACTTTAGTCTGTAAATTTTACACTTTAATCTGTAAAATTTACACTTTAAAGTGAAAAATTTACAGATTAAAGTGTAAAATTTACAGATTAAAGTGTAAAATTTACAGATTAAAGTGTCGAAATTAAAAAAAAGTAAAGTGTGCAAGTGGCACTAATACGCTTCCGTATGAAAGACTAAGCTTTTTTAATTATTATTTTATTTTGTTAAGCTGAGAATCTTTTATTGACAGGACAGAGAGAGAGAGAGAGAGAGAGAGAGAGAGAGAGAGAGAGAGAGAGAGTGATAATAGGTATCGTATACTATATAGTATCATGTAGTGCAGTAATATTTGACGTGCGTTGTGTGAAGACTTGACAAAGGTTTGTGAACATTTCTTTGATATGGGGCAGAAAAAGGTTTGTCAAAGAAATTAATGCAGACGGCTGTAGACAGTTAAATTTGATGTGCATGTAAACGGCAACGTAGGAAAATCAAATTATACATAACGCTTTCTTGTTTGTATTACATAAAAATGGTCAATTGTAGCTAGGTCAGCAAAGAGAAACTACTAAAGTATTTTAATGGTAATGCTTCACTTCTATCCATTGACACAGTGTCATTGATAGCTATGTTCGTGAATTGTTTTTAACAAGTCTTTGGAAAACGCATGAAAAATTGATACGATTAGAGGTCTACATCAATCTTTAGGGTTTTTCTTTTTTCCAATAAATTGTAAACCAGCCATGAGAGATAGAATCGATGCGTTTACGAATGACAAAGAGGGTATTAATTATTTGTACAGGGTATCTAATTTTACAATAGGAATATAAAGAAATTATATCTAAAACATTCAACTCAAGAACAGCTAATCCATTATCCGTGTTATTAGTCATATTTTAAAATATAGAAGTATCCTCGGGTATATTTGAGTTTGTTCAAAACATGACCCGATGGGTGGCACAGACAACAAAGGGAGCTAAATGCCTACACATAAATATACCGGTAAAGGAAATGTCTTTAAA